ATCATCTTTTTCTCACAGAGTCCCAAAAAGAGATGAATGCAACTTTAATTTAACAACATATTACACCCTGTCAGTATTTGTTTAATAATGTCCATTCAAATAAAGAAGCAGTGTGTGAAAAACTAAATCCACCCTTACCACGTTTCCTAGAAATTAACAGCATAAGTAGCTGCCAAGAGCTGCTAATTAAATGCACTTTATTATTTGATTATCAGCTAGTGTGACCGTTTCTGCTGGAATTAGGTCAGGATGAAAAAGTTGGGGGCTTATTTTTTTAATCTTTGCGAGCATTTTTAATTTAGCTCAGAAACACAAATTATTATTAAGAGTAAAAAATTGTTTTTACCTCTTTTTAACAAACCGTCTCCTCAGCCTTGAAGCTGCCGTTTGTTTTAAACTCGGTGCGTTCGCCGGCAGACGCTGAGAGATTGTGTTTCCTCCCTAATCTTCTACATTAAACAGATTTCCTGTGGGGCTTAGTCGTTTGACAGACTCCTCCGTTTCTTTACTTTCACCCTCTAATTTCTGGTCTTTTCTCACACTTTCTCTCGCTCTCTACATCACACATATCACTCCATCAGCTTGTCTTATTGTGCTCGCTCACTGGCTGTACAGTTGCGGTCCCCCAAACCACGACACCCCCTCTCCTGTTTGAGGATCAAGTCGACTTAGAGGTGTCACACCGATCTGAAGCTTGACTTTCTGCCCTAACCCCGCTGCCTGGGGGCAGACAAGCAGACAGCTTTGCTCCGTCAGTCCGTTTGATCTCTGTGAATGATTGAAACAGTGCTGTATTGTACAGTTACCCATGTGTTTCCAGGTGAGCTGTCAGCGACTGCGACGCCATGTTGGCTCTGTCAGAAATGCCCCCCCTCCTTTCCTAATCTGCCCCAGCTGTGCTAACAACCAGGATTAGAGATAGGCTAATCTACGATGATGGCTTCTGATGTTTGATGGGTTGTATTCTAGAAGAAAGTGGGATTTCTTTCCCACTTTTTCATGTCTGGTTTMCCCTCTTTCTGCCCGCTTAGCTTTCCTCGGGCTATGTGCTGTGTAGCCTAACGTCTCTAYGGCTGAGCGCCTCACGCAGCACGCCGCTCTCAATCATCAGCGGGGATTGAGACGTGTTTCCTGTAAAGCTGATTCTTAGCCAGATGTGAAAGCCCTTTCTTTCATCCTAATTGGAAAAGCCTGGTTTAAAAGAAGAAAAAAACAAAACAAGAAGAACAGGGACACGCAACTGTCCGTGTAGTAAACGTGACACCGCGCACCCTTCGAGCACATTCCTCAAACGCACACACGCGTGGCGAGGTTTGTTTTCGTCGTCACGTGACTTCGTGTCCACCACAGAGGAGCACCTGCAGCGAGCGGCGTCTCCAGAGTTAACAACTTCTCCTGACTGGCTCTGGCAGGAGAAGCCACACCTCAGAATAATCTTGGCTGTTCCTCGGCTCGCTGCGGCTGTTTTTTTTTATGGCTGTGGTTTCCTTGTACTCTCTTTAAAATTAAAAAAAAAGAACCAAATGTTCTCTGTCCGCCCAAGCTGTGACATTGGTGCGGTGACCTGAGCTTTCCGAGAAGGCTGTGTTGTCCTGCAGTGTGTTTCAGCCGGGCTTCTAAGACAGGGGTGTCCAAAGTGTGGCCCAGGGGTCATTTTTGGCCCCTGAAGTGATTTTGTGTGGCCCCTGAAGAATCATACTAATTTGTTTACACATTTGTTCCCCCGGCACAGGTGTAGATGGACACTTTTTATCTTTATTCAAGGCAAAATTATCAGACAAAGTAAGATAAGCTTCCAATAAAAGATACTGGTAACAACGGCAATTATTTRTCTTTAAATAACCAGGCTCTTAGCTTTTTCCACATCTATCTAATGACTTCTACTCAGAAGCTGATTTTGCTGCCCTCCAATTCACTTTTATTTAACTTATTAAATTTGTCTGAATACAGCAAGCATTTTCAACGAAAGAGCAACCTAAATCCTGATTTTATTGATCAGAAATGACTAAATTGGGTTCTTTAATCCCCAATTAAAGGCACAGTGTGTAGGAATTGTTGTTTTCAGCGACATCTAGTGGTTGAGTGGTTGAATCATCCTCCCTGGTCCTCCCCCCCCCCCCACCCCCCGCTTCCAAACACAAAGGAGTTGCTACGGTGTCTCTCAGGTGTCAAAAACCTTTGATAATTCCAACCGCGATGTCTACCAGCAGCTTCAGGGCTAGTGATGTTTCAAGTGGTAAGATTATGAGCTTTAATAAGTAAAATTATCCCAGCTACAATGACAGACAACAAATATTACATTTATAGTATTACAACTAAAACTGTTTTTGACGCCGCCACCGCAGTTTGTCCTTCATGAGCCTTCATAGACAAGATGGCAGCTGCCTGTAGTGGCGACCCGCGACCATGGAGATATAAACAGCTTTTTATAAGGTAAAAATAATAAAACAAGGTCTTTGTCTGCAATGATTAGACATGTTTTTTTATTATTGTCATCAGTGATTATCTCAATTTCGGTTAAAAGAATTGACAAAATCCCACACTGTGCCTTTAAAACCTAGAAAATTTCTAAATTTATTTCAATAAGGGAAACCTGCAAAACAATTTTAAACTTCTGGATCTAGATTAATTTACACATCCATTTCCAGCAACAAGTCTGACTACTTTATTTGTTTAATTAAAGTAGTCAATGCTTAGTTTGCTGTTGAGCAGGTAAAGGAAAAATATTTTTGGCCCTCAAGTCCTTCTGACTTTATGATTTTGGCTCATGTGACACAATGTTTGGACACCCCTGTTCTAAGAGGTGTGGCAGGGAAAACTCGTAACAAGGAGGGACGGAAGAACTGGCGCCTAATGGTCACTGCTTAGGAATTTAGCTTCTCCTCCAGAAAACGTTCTGCTTTTCCGTTCAGTTCGGTGTCTGTTCGGCTCAAACAACTTGATTACAGAATGCTAAAGAACCTCAGGCTAACTGTTTATGGATGGCACGCATAAACATGCCATCTATGCTCCTCGCTGATTTATTGCTCCATGTTTGGTGCATATTGCTCCGTTACTGATTTATTTACCGTCTTTGAAGTCTCGGCACTTAACGGGAGTCTATCCGTCACGCCACGTGCGCCTGTTGGAGGCTCAGCTTGTGTGGAACGCGCGCGCTTTCCGTTCGCCTGCATGTGAACGACACGATGTTTGACATGACAAGAGGTGACCTTCCCTCTGTGCTCTTCATCCTACTCCCGTCATGGCGAGTGGAACCCGAGTCTCTGTTGTTCTGGTGACRGCGGTGATTGACAAGTGCTGTATCCCTGGAAGACAGATTTGTGAGAAGCACTTTCTTCTGTTATCGGAGCTGACTTTAAGGACAGTATATTTTTCCACATTTCTTTAAACATTCGTTTCTATTTCTAAACTTGAGTTTACTCAGAGAAGCTGGAAATGTGCCGTTCGTTCCCTCCGTTCGTTGACGCGGGTAAAACCTGATATCTTTAAGACGTTCRGAAGAGCTTTAAGTCAACCCTTTTATGGCATTTTAAAATTTTATGATCCTTTTGATTGCGTTTAAG